GGGGAAGGGAAGGGGAAGGGAAAGGGGGGAAACGAAAGGTTCGCGTCCCGTCGGATGGGGATGATCTGCGTCTAGGGAAGGGGAATAAACATAGGGCGAGCTGCGGGGGGAGGGAGGGGCAAAGGTGCAAGGGGAGAAGGGGAAGTGAGCCGCGCGCTCTCAGTAGGTGTTCTGATCGGGCCGGCCGGCATGGCCTCCCGGGGTGACGCAACGGATCCTGGAAAAGCCCGGCCCCGCACGCCACGAGGGACGCCCAGCCGCAGGATTGACGGCGTTGCCCAGGTGGGGCCGCAGGAGGGCAGGGAGATCCTGCGCCCCATGCTCTGTGTCCCCGCCCCTGGATGGGCCCGAGGAGAGCACGGGGGGGGGGGGGGGGGGGGGGGGGGGGGGGCGGGGGGCGGTAGGTAGAACACACATGGCACATCTCCGCCCCCCGCGCTGCCCCCGCCCCCAGCACACCAGTGCGCGTTCGAACACACACACACACACACACACACACACACACACACACACACACACGTTCCCATGTGTCAGGCTGCGCGAGACGCGCCCAGTCCGTGCGGGGACCCACCCATGGCCCACGCTGCACGCCCTTGCCGGGCACATGCGCGCCTCCGCCAGGACACCCAAAAGAGCCCGGTTTCTCCGCCACCCAGGGCGGGGGGGGGGGTCACACTCGCACGCCCCTCCATGCCGCCGCCTGCCCATGGTTGCGGTACCTTCCTTGACCCGGCCTTTACCCTTGCTCGCTCGGTTTTTTTGACCGCATTTCTCGCCTCCACATGGTTGCCCCCCTCGCCCGCCCGCCCGCCCGCGTGTACATGCCAGCACTCCCCAATGCACAGCAAGATGGAAGGCGAGTCCAGCAGTGAGCCGGGGTCCCGAAGCTCCTCCGCCCCCCCCCCCCCCCATTTGGCCCTCGCTCCAGAATAATGGCGCGCATGCGACCTCAGGGTGGAATCCTAGAACCCCTCCAGAACAGCAGTCCCCCAAGGTCCCACGCCCAGGGGCGGTCCCCTACATGATCCCCAAACAGCATTCTATAAGGACGTGATCAGAGGAGGCTGGTGGTGCATGCCAACGCAATGGCCACCACCGGTGCGGCCACAAGGAAGGCCAAGCCGAAATTCCGCTCCTCGGTCGAATGGGCCGGGATGCCGCGCGAGATGGCCACCGCCGCATTCAGCAGGATCTCGTCGGCGGTCAAAGGAGCATGCGGGGGGGCCCGCGCAGTGGCCGCGGCCGCGGCAGCGGCGGTGGCCATCGCCGTCGCGGCACACGACTCCGCCATGCCTCCCGGCAGCGGGGGACAGGGGCCCGCCGGCCCCGGGCGGTGGGAGGGCATCCGGCCGCAGCCGGGCCCCGGGCCAGACCCGGACCCGGACCCGGGGCCGGCCTCGCCCGGCTGCCGGGGCTGCTCCTTGCCGGGCTCGGCCCCGGGGGCCGCGGGCTCGGCGGCCGCCAGTGAGAAGGGACTGTCAAGACGCCCCTCGATGGCGGGCTGGTGGTTGAAGATGACCGGCACCCCGGGGCCGCCGGCAACCGAGCCGATAGCCACTCCGGCACTGGCGAGATCCGCCGGTGACGCCTGGCAAATGACCACCCGGCCCATGGGCTCGCCCGGGGCGCCATTGACCAGACGCAATTCGCAGCGTGCGTGGTCCACCAGGACCTGAGACACCCCGGACCCGGCACGCACCAGGACCCCGGCCCGGAAGCGCCGCGGGCAGAAGGCCACATCCAGGACGCCCTGCCGGCCGCCGCACTCGGCGGCGAAGAGGGCACTGCCGGACTTCGAGCCTCCGGCCAGATCCCGGTCAGGCCGATCGGCCGGCCCCCAATCGGAGTGCGCCCGGAGCCGGCCGTCTCCGCCGTCGGCCGGGGCCACTGGCGCCCCGAACCGCGCCAAGTGCTCGATCACCCGGGTCACAGCGCGCGGCGCATCCTGCGCCACACGCTGGGCAATGGCCCGCGGCAACTTGCCACCGGGGTCAATTTCCACCATGTACGTGATCCCCAGTCCAAGCAGGGCCCCGGACTCCGGGTGCCGGAATTCATCCAGCCGCCAGGCCGCCAGGGCCATCCGTCCACGGACAAGCCCCGGCCGCGGCGGCGCCCGGGCCGGATCGTCCACCGACGTGCCCACATGCAGCAGTGTCCGATCCAGGCGCGATCCCGCCGGGCCAGCACCGAAGGGAGACTCCCCGACCGTGGAGGGGGAGGTCTGCTCGCCAGCCGGATGGTCGATGCACCACCGCCGCGAGGCCAGGACAAACTCCCGCCCACTGACCAGCATCATGGATTGGCTGGAGCCCGAAGCCAAAACGGTGCGCTGGTCAAGCTCCGGCGGGAGGATGGCCCCCGAAGCAAAGAGCCCGGCATCCCAGACCCCGCGCTCGGTGGAATGCTCGGCGGCTGTCAGGAACTGGGCGGCCCCCGGCGGGGCGGCCCCGAGAGCCAGGCGACCGGCACGCGCCAATGCCTCGGACCAGGGCCCGCCGGTCAATTGGTCGGCCTGAGAGGCGCCAGGCATTCGGCTGGGGGTTTCCAGCAAAATACTCGACCGGAAGAGCCCCAGCGAGGCCGGGCCCACCGGGCCCGTGAATCGGCTCACCCGCAGGCCCTGGAAGGTGTCCACCAGTGCCCAGGACCCGGTCTGAGCACCGGGCCCATCGGGCTCCGGCTCGCGCAGCAAGTCCAAAAACCGCTGGCAGGCATCCGCACAGAGCCGCGCATGGGGATGGGCGCCGACCGGCACGTCATGGACCGGGTCAAACACCGGGGCCGGAGCCCGGGCCGGGGCACCGGCGTCATGGGCTCCGGCCTGGGGGGGCTTGACCTTGGCCTCGGTCTCGGCGGCGGCCTTCGCCTTGGCCGCCGCTCGGGCTTCGGCCCTGACAGCCGCCTCGACCGATGGCCGGAGCAGTGGCCAAAAGCAGGACCCCCGAGCGGCCAGATGGATGGCCTCCGGCCCGGCGCCCAGACGCGATGGAACTGGCGGCTCGGCGCCCGGGCCCTGGCCGAGGATGGCCACTTGCCGGTCATTGAAGAAGACCACCGGATGTGGGGGCCGAGCATGGGGATTGGCCGGCCGAGCGGCCGGCTCCACGGTCAGGATCCACTCCGGTCGGGACGTGCCGGCAGGCAGCCCCTGCAGCGGAGGCGTGGTCACCGGCCAGGCAAGCGGCAAGAGCAGCACCAAGGCCCCGCCCTGGTCCAGGCGCACCCTCGGCCGGCCCTGGGGCCCGGCGTCGGCCGGCCAGCGAACGCTCGAACGCAGGGTGATGCGCACGCCATGCTGGTAGCGTCGCCGAGGACACCACACCCGGAGCTCGCCGGCCGAATACCCATCCAGCAGGGACCACCGGCCAGACAGACGACCAGTGGGCTCGTCAAAGTCGATGGCCGAACGGCCAAGGACCGGCTGCGAGGAGATCAGCCCCCGGATGCCGACCACAGCCGCCGGGGCTCCCGGCCCGGCGGCGCAATACCAAGCCAGCCCGGAGGCCGCCACCGGCATGCTGGCCACCGCCAGGGAGGCCACCCGATCGGGCAGGTAGCCGCCCAGGGTGCTGATGTCCATCAGCAGGGTAATCCGCGCCCCGGCCAAGTGCGTCACCGGGCACACGCCACCCGAGGTGCCATCGGCCGGGGGCAGGGGGCCAGGGGTGTCACCATCGGCGCGCTCCCCGTCGGGCTGCTGGAAGACCGGCTCAAAGTGCCAGCCAAACACCCGAGCCGTGGCGCGGACATTCTTCGATGCGGAATCGGCCGCGGTTGTGTTCAGCGACGCGGCCGACGACAGGAGCGACGCTCCCTGGAAGCGCGAGCCAATCGACAGGATGAAGTCCCGGACGGCCACCAACCGGATGGGGGCCGTGCTGGCGTACACCAGCAACACCGGCAGGGTGCCATTTGTTTCACACACCGGCCGCGGGGCATTCAACAGGGACAGGACATTGCCGGAGCCAAAGAGCCCGTCCCCTGTGACACACAAGGCGAGAGGGGGGGGAGGTGGATTGGGCATGGGGGTCAGAAAGGCGGATCGGGGAGGGCCGGGGGGAGAGAGCGCGCGCGGAACGAGGCGACACAGGCAGCCCCAATTCCTGAGCCCCATCGGAAAAGGCGGTCCCGGGCAGGCGGAGGCCGCCTGCTGGCAGGGGCACGCACACATCTCCCGGCATTCCGGCGTGATGGAGGAAGCCCAGAGGGCCATCGGCGACACGTCCCCCGGGTCAAAGTCAAAGCCAGCGGTGGATGTGATCTCGCAGAAGCCCCGGATGACACCCAGTGGCGAGGTCTGGCCATTGAGCCCGGTGGTCATGGACACCTGGACCCAGGGGCGCCCGGAGGAGCGCTTCTTTCGCCGGCGCTGGTCCTGGTCGACGGTCACCCAGTCGCTGGACGGCCGGCTGAGGTGGGTCTGGAGGATGTTCACCGCATCGACGCCGGTGTTGACCACCTCCGAGAAGGGAGCCCCCAGGAGATCGATCGAGGAGGAGCTGGACGAGGCAGACGAGGCATGCGGGGTTGCCGGCGATATGAGATGCCCATCGCCCAGGCTGGAGTCGCTATCCGAGCTGCAGGACGGCGCTGCCGGGTCCGGCGAGAGGGCAAACCCGGCGCTGCGGCCGCCAGCTGGCCAGTCGGACACCGCCGCGGATGACATTCGATGTATGATGCGCCAGGGGG